AAAAATTTTTGTTAGGCTTAACATCGATGAAAATTCAACGCGAAGTAGGTTAATAGCGATATACTAATATACTAATTACATGGGATATAATAATATACTACACTAATAATGGATTTTTTCATACTTTTCGGTTATCCGACATTTCAATTATTTGACCAACCCCAGTCTCCAATTGGGTCGGATAATCGAGGCTCTACTGTATATCAAAGATGGGACGAATAAGCTGAGACATCCCTTCCACACAGCTTATAATTTATTGTCATTTCTTCTTTGCTTGCTACTTTGACAGTTTTTTGTTGGCTAAAAGTTAATGTTTTAGCATAAAAGTATATGTTCTTAGTGAAGGAAGATAAAAGTATCGAATTATAATATTCACACATGAAAATATTCATATATTTCGGTATTAGAAATCTATATTTTTTCGGTGTTTGAAATAATGTCATGACAAAAATATTAGATGTAGGAAATACGGATCATAAACATTTTTTTTTCTGTCAAATAAATTAGAAATGAAATAGTTTAATTTAGGAAAATTCAATCGCGATTATCTCAGGTGAAACGTAGAGTTTACAAGTAGGCCTATGCTTTTTATGTGAAAGTATCTGCGTTTACAAATTAACAGAATTTCCAGTTTTTATACACATTATTATGCTACAATCTACGAAACTGTGTTTAATACATAATACGTACTACAGAAAAGGTAATAAAGGAACGTCAGTCATTGTAAATAATGTATTATTGAAAGTTTTATTGATATAAATAATGAATTTTATCAGAAAAACATTTCTCCAGAAGAAAATTTCACGTAAATATAAGTAAATTTTATTATAATTTAGATAAAAACACATTTTTTTACCACGCATGGCTTCTCCCCCATCTTACACTTAAAATATTCCATTTCATAAAGATTTGTATTCAGAATGCAAATAACCCCTTCCAGTCATCTTAATTCAGGGGCTCATTTGCATAAAGCTCTGTATTTACAATGCAAATGACCCCTTCCAGTCTCTTAATTCAGGGGCTCATTTGCATAAAGCTCTGTATTTACAATGCAAATGAGCCCCTGAATTAAGCTTTGATGGACTCATTTGCATAACGTGTCGAGGGCAGCGACAGTATATAAAGCCGTCGCTGAAGTGCTGCATTAATCCGTTCATCATGCCGAAGGCAATCAGTAAGGATATTCGTTTGTTGATCATACGCCATCATGAAGAAGGATGCAGTTACGAAGATATTGCTGATGTGCTTAGTGTCGACACGAGCTGTGTCGCGCATCCTCAAGCTGTACCGAGACAAAGGTTCTGTGTCGCCGGGAAAGGCAAAGGGGCGACAGCGAGCGACGACGGCGGAGGATGACGCCCGTTTAAAGGCCGCTGGTGAGGCCAGGCCTTTTTCCACTGCTTCAATGTTGAAGAAGGAATTAAACCTTAGAGTATCTACAGATACGGTAAAACGAAGGTATGTAACATTTGTAGTATAATATTACAACCTTCCAACGAAATGTATTTCTGGCAGTTCATTATATCGATAGAAATATAACTTTACTAATTAACGTGTTTTTGCATATACAGAAATGTAGGAAGCAGGATAATATATGCTTTTTATTCTATTCATAGATTGCAACAGTTGGAATTATACGGAGCCATAAAGCAGTGGCTCACAGTCAGCAACCAATTTGATCGGCTGGGGTTCGCCCAAACTTACTCCAGTTGGGGAGTGGCCGACTGGGCCAAGGTCGTCTTCACTGACAAGAAGATATTCTGCTCGTCGAGCTGGGGGACTGAGTGGGTGCGTCGCAAACCCTGCACCCGGTTTGACCCGAAGCACGTGTGGTGCACCCAAAGAAGCGGTCGCTTTTCCTCAGGTGAGTTTTTAAATTTCGTGTATTTATGTCATTAACGCTTTGAACATGACAACATATTGGCATGTTCATTTTATAAATTAACTTTATTGACGTTTTCTGTTTTACAGGTGTTTGTAAACGTTTATAATCTCTGTCATTAGGAAATGAAGCACTTTCACTGGAAGAAAAAAAAAATGATAACAGCAACGACATTGAATTCAAGGGACGAACATTCCACGTGGATTTTTTTCAAGTAAATGTTCGTATGTTATTTCAATTGCGTTCGATCTGTTCTCCATCTTATTCCATAATCTAGTAAATAGATTAATCCGTAAATCTCTTGAAATTTACCGAATTTAAATTTTAAATTATAGGAATAAGGAAAGTATACTTTAACTTTGTCGTAACTTGACAACTAAACTGATTTACCTTTTGTTTGAATCGTAGGATCAAACGTGCCTTTTCAATCAAAGAAACTGCTTTTGGTGTTGTCGTATCGAAAATGCTCAATGGATGGCGTCATTTTATTTAGACAAATCAATGAAAGCGTTAATAATTGGACTTTGTTTATTTTTCAGATTTGTCAACGCTCGTCTTAAGTACTGCCAAGTATCGTTTCTATATTTAAAATTTATTCGTGTTTAAAAATTTTTAAATTTGTCAAATATTTTCTTCATTTCCAGGTAGAATTAAAGTTAATTCTTCCTTATTCACTGTTTAATTTCTACATTTTTTCTTTAAGATGTTTCTTCCGAGCTCAACATCTCTCCGACCCAACATCTCTCTCGAAGAATTGCCGTGAAAAATTACAAGAATGGAAGAAGGAAGGGAATATTTACTTCACAGATAGATGAATCGTTTTCATTTAAAATTCATTGTCTACAGATTTACTGAAAAATTGTGTCGATGAATTAACATGAACATGTTTTGTCAATGCGCTGCGAAGATTGTTTTAAACATTTGTTTCGTATTTTTTTATTTTTGTAATGCAAACGTGGGGTTGTTCATTAGATATATTATTTATGTTTTGATTGAATTTAGATTTAATTTTTATGTTATTGTGAAGCATTTATGTCAAGAAATGCAGAATTAATATTTGCTGCGTATCTTTGCAATAATTAACACGATCGATTAATTTTTAACAATATAGTTTAGTATTTTGTGTTTCGTAGATTTCGCCAATACGAAGAAGAGGAAGTTTGTGTGTGGAGAATGTGGCAAAGAATATTCTCGGAAATACAGGTTGCGACGTCATAGGATGAGTCACACGGGAGAAAAGCCGTTCAGTTGCCAGTTATGTGGAGAAAGTTTTATTAGAAGTTCCCGTCTACGAAGTCACCTGATGATTCATACCGGAGAGAAGCCTTTTACGTGCGACCGTTGCAAACGAAGCTTTACTCGAAGACGAAATCTTGTAAGGCATCTTCGCATTCACACGGGAGAATTGCCGTTTGAGTGCGATTATTGTTTTCGAAAGTTCTCTGTCAAATGTAATTTTAAATTCTCACATTAAACGCCACAGCAATGAAAATATTAATTAACATGAATATACTAAACAGTTTGAAACTTGTAAGGAATAATTTAATTCCGAAGATTACAGTTTATTTATTCTTTTTGACTTTTTTTCGAAATTTCATTAAAGTAGTTTCATTTTAAACTTAAAATGAAAACATACTGTATTATTAATGTTATTGTAATAAAGAGTTTTTGTAATTGTAATAAAGTGTTTTTATTTTATCGAAATTTTAACATTTGTCTTCTATAAGAATACAAAATAAAAATGTGCTTTGTGCTATTTTTATGAAACGATATTTCGAATTTCTTTCGGAATTTGGGATTTTCTGAAATTTAAGTTTTACTAACAGTGAACACAGAAATGAAATTATAATTGCGAAATTTTAAACAACGATACCGCCGGTTATCTCATTTGCAATCTGTTGCTAACCTATGTAAATTGGATGTCAAGTACAGATATATAGGGAACAGTCGTGTTTATGTAATAAAAAATATACTACACTTAAACTAACAGAATTTTTTTTGAAAAAAATATAAAGTACAGTAGAGCGTCGTTTATCCGAAAGCTGGTTATCCGAAACGTCCGTTATCCGAAAGCATTCCAGTCAACAAATTTAAATTTTCGCTAGTGCTGTGGCGCTGCAATCTTTGGCTATGTTTTTGGCTACTCAAATATTTTACGTTTCTGATACTAAATTAACTTCTGAAGTATATTTTTTTTTTGTTTTTATATTTTTCAATATATTTATTTTGTTTGTACAAAATAAAAAAAATAATTTTTAACGATACAATAGCCATGATTATTATTTTAAAAAGTTTATGTTAGGCTTAACATAAACGAAAATTCAACGCAAAGC